CGACAAACAGCTGATTAGCTGTTTGTCGGCTCAGCGCGGCAGCCATGTAAATTTAAATGAAGCGGCGATTATTTAAATCGCTGCTTCATTTTACTATGTCTGGTAGCCTAATCTACATCCCTCTGGCGACAGAGGCATGTAGTCTAGACGTACCCTCAGAGTCTTCTTTTTTCTCCTACTTTTCCCCATCCCCAGTTCTGTTCTTCCTTCTGCATGGTGGTGCGGTGAGGATGTAATTAGCTGCGGGGTTGGGGTTAAGGAATAAAAACAACTTTTGTCTCTCACAAAAACACAATTTCCAACAGTATATGGGAAGAGGAAAACATGGAGCATTTGTGATCAGTATGGTATGTCCAAGGCTCCCGTAGAAAATGCTAATGCCTTGGGCTGGTCCTAACAGCCTCGCACACAGATGATGCCAGCTCCATCTTGGTGAACAGAAGACCAACTGAGACACCCCTATTCTTTCTTAAAAACTGTTTTGAAGGGTCAAGGGATGCAAAACCTTTCCCTCTAAAAATATAAACGCAGGCTTGATTTGCACATGTTTTTCAGCCTCAAAAAAGTAATATCTTGTACAGCATCCAGCAGACCTTTTGCTTTGGAATCTGGGATTGTTGTCTAAGCAACTCAGGTTACCTCTGCTGAGCTGGCTGCTGTGGCCAACTCTAATAATGACTTCCCTGAGACTGACATTCATTCTGAGGCACATTCGACTTTGTGAGTGAATGAGATTGGAATATACTATCACATGACAGCACAGGAAAGAAAATGTCCTCTTGCAGACACACACATGTGATATCACCAATAGTTGAAGAGCACCGAGAGGGACCTGTGACCGAAGGGGTCTGTTGCAGGTTGGAAGAAATGAGGAAAACCACGCTGGACTGTGAAATAAAGAGCGCAAAAGCTAGACATGAGAGGGTGATTGTAAAGGTTTGGAAATGTTCAATAAAAGATTCAGATGTGCTTCCAAAATTGTCAAGGCCTTTAAAAAACCAAACTTCTAATCTTCCTGAGCTTTGCTCACTAGTTTAAATGTACCCTATATCTTAATTTAGTAGGGCAGCAGAACTAAAACCTAATGCAATCTTTAGAAAGCACACAGTGGTATCATCCTTTGTGTTTTATAAATGTTTTCTCCTGCGGCCTATGCATAGTATATGTAGATATACAGAGGTTTCTGATCTACCATTATAATTTATGTTAATTACATTCAAGGAGTTCTTTCTTTGCTCTGTGCAGGTGCATCTACACTGCCCCTGAAACTCGAAATAAGCTACGCAATTTGAGCTACACAAATTGCATAGCTTATTTTGAGTCAATTTCAAAATAGCTTATTTTGAAATTTGGTGCTGTCTGTACAGCATTTATTTTTAAATAAATCACTATTCCCAAACATCCCATGCTCCTTGTGGAATGAGGTTTATATTTTGAAATAATGGTTTATATTTTGAAACACTCAAAAGACGTGGAATAGCTATTTTGGGATACCTCTGTGCTGCAGTGTAGATGTAGCCTAGGTGAACAAAAGGAAATATACATGGAATAAAACATTGTCATAATAACGGCTTCTGGTTTCTCCTGCCAGTAAATGTTAAAGAAATCAGAAAACTTATTTTCACAGGTGATGTCATTGATTATATGATGATGGCATTTTATTACTGTGGACTTTATTTCTATTAGCCCAGGAAATTGATGGAGAAGCTGACCTATCTGTCTGCTAGAAGTTGGTGCAACAAAATGAATTAGCTGCTGCACTATTATTAAAGAGCTGTGGTCTTAGCCATTGAGAGAATAACTTATGTGCTTTAGTCCTGTCAAATATACAACATTTTCCTATAGAAAATTTGGTCCTTTCTATAGGACAATTGAGAAACCTTTTTTTTTTTTTTCTGATGCTGGGTTTGGGTTCCAGTGTAAGGGTATTTTATATAAGACCAAAAGTTGATGTGTATGCATTTAGAAATCTCCCTAGTACTATAACGTTTCAAAATCTTTTTCCAATTTACCTCATATTGTAATTTTGTTTACCCAAAACCAGATTCTCCCAATAAACACCACTCTAGGTCAATATTTAACCCTTTTTTTAAAAAAAATATCCACACCTCAGTCAAGTCTATATATTTCACATATGTTATGAGAACTTCTCAGGGTGCCTTAAAAATATTTCAGGTCCATCCTTGAACGAAGAAACCAAACTACACTTGATTTTGATGCTGTGTTGATGATGATTTGGTTTTGATGTCATTATATAAATTTGAACACTTGTGATTTTTGTTAGAGGATATTAGCTAACATATTATTCTCAGAGACAATTTAAAACAATATAATGTACTGGACCTGTGTCTGATTTCAAATTACACTGATTTTACACTGGTGTAATTCCATTAACTGCAAAGGCCTACAGATTGGAAGTCAAAGTCAAGCTCTGTGTTTCTAATGGTTGAAATGATATAATAGAAAACTTTTACCCTAAGTAGCTGATGGCTATCTATAGCATATTGATGAGTTGGCATTAATTTCAGTTGCTATGTGTTAAGATGCAGATTTTCAATGATCATGGAAACTCTGAATTACAGTAGATAATTTAATACAGAAAGATTAAAAAAGCCATTGTAACCATTTATCTAGATACTGGAAAATTCTGCATTAGCATCCTTGTAAATAAAGATACAGTTTTAATAGTATCCTGAATTCAACAACACATTGAAGGGTGTAGCTGTATCTTAGAAATAAAATGTCATAACAGTTAGCCTACATTAAAAAGCAAAAAACAAAAAACAAAGCAGGAATTCAATTATGACCTTTGGTGGAAAGGAGAGACAGAAGACATTTATGAATGCCACAAAAATAAAATATTTTAATAGATATATAAATAAAAGGCTTAGAGTAAACTTTTCCCCTTCCAAAACATAAAGCTAGTCTAATTCTTTAAAAAAATTGAACAACAATATTCCAAGTGACTACTGAGTCAAATAATCACTCTGATACATTCAAACTGGAGGCAAATATATAAAAAATGATGCACCTGAATCATTCTTCTATTGCATCTTAGCAATGTTTACAGTAATTTGTGTTTTTACAGTACTATGCAGCTTTAGATATGTAAAATAAAACCTCCAATGATAGCGCAAATAAAATCATATAAAACAAAAAGGTGGCTTGCATCACCCATTGTGAAAACTTTAATATAAGTGAAGTAATTGACTTATGTTTGTAAAATAAATTATGTTTTTATGTACTGTAGCAGAGTGACATTAAAGTGTATAAACATTACATTCATTTTCGTGGTGTGCTCAAATATATTTCCGCCTACCTCTATGGCAAATAATATAAGACATACGCTAACTGAGACAGATTTGTGCTTTCGTTTTTATTGGAAAGCAGTGGAACCTGGCACACACAAAAAAAATCTCCCATTTATGCAAGACAAACACAATTTAATTAAAAGCAGCTTTTAAAAAAAAGGAAATAGATGATTAAGGGTCAACCTTTTGCTGTGCCGAATTAAAAAAAAAAAAGAAACATGGTGACTATAATCAAATATAACCTAAATTGACAGTCAGATTTTGGGTTTTACCTTTCTCAATAGATCATCTTTACCTGTTTGGGATTACCTATCAGTAATTTTTCCATACTATTATAGAAATGTCTATTTTGGACATGAAATCACCTCACCAAGTATCCTTCAAACAGAGAAACACTGAAAGCGAAAGTTATTTCCATTGCTATCTGGAATGTTGCTGTGATGGGACAATATCATTTGTGCTGGAGAAGAACATTTGCCACATAGGCATTTATACATTCTTCAGGTAGAGTATCATGATAACTGGCACTGGTATAACGGAGAACAAACCAGAAGGGGAGATTTTTCAGTCTATCATAGTGCAGAGCTGGCATTTCTATGCTGGTGGAATGTCATGAGCTCCTGAAAGTTGGAGCCAGTCTGACTTAGGTTTATGCAATGACACTAGTCGATCCTATCCACTAGCAAGGTGCAAACGGCAATTTAAGGGCTGTCCCTTTTTTTGATTTGTTTTTTTCTTGTTCTTTTTTTGTTTATTCTCTCCCTTCATTTTACCTGGCTTCTTTTTCTTCTCGTCCTCCTTAAACCATGGGCCCCAGACTCCTCCATTAAGTTTAGGATTACTTCTAGGGTCTTTAGCTGGGTATCGAACAGGAACTGCAGTCTTATTGAACTGTGAAAGTCTCCGCAACAACTGCTTCACTATCTCTGGATACTTACCAGAAAGGTCCACTCGCTCATATGGGTCGGCAGTTATGTTAAAAAGCCACACTGTTTTGCCAGCCGACCAAGAAACTCTTTCGTTATGCCAGCGATTGGGGCCAGCGTTGCTAAAAGACTGGGGGGGGACCCAGTCACTGTATCCAGGATTTCCTGTCAGTAGTTTCCAGTGGTTTACTCTAATTGCTGACTGAATTGCTGTGTTCCAGATCCCAAAGCCTGCTGCCCACGAGCCATTTTTGGCTTTGGTATAAATAGGGTCAATGTTGTGTAAAATGTCCACCCTTGGGGAACGTCTGCCTTCACTTATGGTCTCCCATATATCATAGCCATCCAATTGGATTTCCTCATCAATCTGCCCTTCGGCCAATGTGATCAAAGTGGGGAACCAGTCTGTGATGTGCACAAGCTCCTTACATACAGCCCCTTTGTTTTTCAAAAGGGGGCTATGGACAAATCCAACAGCACGGATTCCCCCCTCCCAATATGTCCCTTTGCTTCCTCTGAGAGGCCAGTTACTTCCTCCAGCCATTGGCTGGCCTCCATTATCCGAAGAGTAGATGAGAATGCTGTTGTCATAGTAACCATACCTCTTTAAAGCAAGGGTCACATTATTGATGGCTTCATCCAAACAGGCCAGCATGGCAGCATATCTCCGCCTGTTTATATTATTTATTGATCTGTAATGTTCAAAATACTTGCCTGGTGCTTGTAGTGGAGAGTGAACAGCTTGATAAGCAATATATAAAAATATAGGGGTCCTGGGATTATGAGAGGCTAAGATTTGTTGTACTTTTTGTGTGTACATCTGTGTGGAATATATGCCATTGTCATGATCCCAAGCTGCATTGTCATTCTCATAGAGGTCATAGCCACATATGCCAGGGCTGTCACATTTGTAGTGAGTGTAATAATCCCCACTGCCCAAGAGTGAGCCAAAAAAAGAATCAAATCCTCTCTGCGTCGGCATGCATTCTTTACGGTAAAACCCCAAATGCCATTTGCCAACCATGTGGGTGGAGTAGCCAACCTCCTTCAGCTTCTGAGGTAGAGTCACATTATCCAGAGGTAAACAGTTAGGCTGGGTGGGCCTTATGACAGAATGCTGAAGACCTGTGTGTATCTGGTATCTGAAAAAGACCAAAAAGGAGAAATACATATTAGAAGGGAGAGAAAATAAATGTATCTGGACATATAGAATCATAGAACACTAGAACTGGAAGGGACCTTGAGAGGTCATCAAGTCCAGTCCCCTGCCCTCATGGCAGGACCAAGCACCATCTAGGATCATCCCTGATAGATGTCTATCCAAACAGCTCTTAAATATCTCTAGTTATGGAGATTTCACAACCTCTATAGACATTTTTTTCCCAGTGTTTAACCACCCTGACAGTCAGGAAGTTTTTTCCTAATGTCCAACCTAAACTTCCCTTGCTACAGTTTAAGCCCATTACTTCTCATCCTGTAATCAGAGGCCAAGAAGAACAATTTTTCTTATCCACAAACAAGAACACACATGCAATATATAGGAACAACAAATGTCTCTGTGGGGAAAAAAAAGTCCTTGTTGGAAACATTTTAAAAGTGTAAATTTCAAAGAATAATGAGATCATGCCAAGACATTTGTTGAAACAGGAACATAGCACGTGTTTTACTTTAGGAATATTTAAAGGTTAATAGTCAATCTTTTCAGTATACCCTACATACACTAGGACCTGTGAAAAACTGACAGTGTCTCTGTGCCATCTTGTGCATGAATCATTTCCTTAGTATTTGGCTGAGTTAAACTGCAAACTCTTGAAAGCACAGACCAGTTTTTTGGACAAGTGTCTGTAGAGCTGTGTGCAATTACTATATAAATAAAGAATACCTATAAACCCTCCAACATTAGCCTACTAAGATTATAGTGTCTTTTAGTTATGACCTGTGACCTTCACTTTCTAGCCTCTTATTTTTTAGTTGTCCCTCATATTTAGTTGAATCCTGGGTAGGGTTGCCAGGTGTCCGGTTTTCACCTGGCCTGTCCGTTATTCGGGTCCTCCGTCCGGTAAAAAAACCCAGAAAATACCAGACATGTGAAATGTCCAGTATTTCCTGTTTCCCTTGGATGGAAGCCCAGTGGGGACAATTTTCCCCTGCCATGTCTGGCGGGGGAGTGCAGGGCCATTTAAAGCCGCAGTGCCTTTTTTTCCCCCTCGACAACTTTGGTTTCCCCTCCCCCTCTTTTTTTTTGCTCTACAGAATTTTTTCCCGGGTATTTGTGTGTGTGTGTGGGGGTGGGAGAGTGGGGGGGCAGAGAGGCAGAGGAAGGGAGGGTGTTCAGTACTTTTTGTTAAACCATTTGGCAACCCTAGTCCTGGGCCTTTGGCTGGGGGAGGGGCTTTTAAGAAAGGGACAGTCGCCTCCCAGAATTTCTGACTTCAGGTTGTCACAAAGCAAAAGTTAAGACATGGATTACTGCAGAAGGAAAATGGCACCAATTTTTCTGGGAAAAGTTTCTTAACATAAGTATTCTGCAATTTGTATTATTTGCATGACCCACAGGCTTCACTTAAGAATAAAACTACAAAGGCAATAAGTGACAGGCATTGATTGTTTGGGTCTGTGGAAGGTAAATTTATGAGCAGCTTTACTCATGGTGACTCCCTTGCAATCTGAGATAATTCTGTACATTTTATGATTTTCTATTGTAAGACTGGGTATATCTTGTGAATAAATTGCTTGAAATTAGTTCCATACGCAGAAAGAGGAGGACTATGCTAAATAGTCTGGAATTCATTATCATAATTACAGCATTTGTAACCAATTAAATACAAAACAAATGCTGACAAACTGTGATGCAGAATCTAATTTTACCCATTTCTGATACTTTGATCTTTTTAAATACAATTTACATAAAAGATAATCGTGTGATTTCTGCTGTTTCCAAAGTTCTAACGACCATCGCTCCAAAGTACCATCGCTCCCTCACCCCCAATCCAATGTCTAGGTTATAACTAGTTTTTATGTACCTAAATTTTGCAGAATAGACCAGTATTTATGCTCTTGCAGAGGAAGTAAATAAACAGAATTTGTGTGTAAACTTCAGCTAAAAATGTGCCTATATGAAAGCAGATTGATTTTTATTTATTGTAAACTGCAATTAGAGCAACATTCATTGTATTGTTTTCTATTATTACTTCTTTACTAGCATGGAGGCTGCTCAGATATTTGCAGTAAAACCACTGTAATAATTCTTCCAGATGGCTGCAGATGCTTAATGTTATCTAACTTTTACTCTGACTTGTTTACTCATCTGTAATGGAAACTTTATTTAAAGGGACTGCACTGGAAAGATACTATAAGACTCTTGTTCTTATTCCATAGGTCCTCTGGCTGTTGGTGCTCTATAGGCTTTTTCACAGACTTTTCTTAAAAATACAGGCTCAAATCATAGTGTTGTCTTCACCTTGTTTTCTGATGTTACAAATTCCATCTTTACCTACGCTTATCAAATGTGATGGAAACTTCTAACCAAATTGGATGGAAACTTCTAAAAAAATTCTACTTCCCAAACCCTGAATGAGAAAATTAATTTCCCCTTTTTGTTCCAGACTGGACAAGTCCAATTCCATTTGCCGTGTTTTATACTATGCTTACCCCTTGCCACAAACTGGAGTAGATATTATGTTGTAAAAGTTCAGTTTCGGAATGTAAGGTGCTAGATCCTCAGCTGACAAATCAGCATAGCATCATCAAAATCAAAGTGAACTGAATTTGTTGAATTTCTAGACTTTTGAATGGACTGGTTTCCCAGTGTCAGTATTGCAATAAAGCTTGTTTGTCTGCAGGGATTTGCCTGGTTTTGTTTTGTTTTTGAAGGAAAAAGAGGAAAGACAGAAAATCCAAAGCTAGACTTGAAGTGGGATTCGGCATTAAATACAGCGATCACTACTGATGATTATGAATAAGACGACAAAGACAAGGACAAAGAGGATCCTAAATTAGTGATGGACTATGCCATCAATGCAAATGACATTTGGCAAGGCCAATGAAGCTGAACTAATTTAAATCAGCTGAGAATCTGCTCCAATCTTTCCATGAATGCATTAGAATTTCACATATATCCCTAGAAAAAACCCACAGCTGTTAAAAAGGGTTCAAAGAACATAAGAATGGCCACCCTGGCCCACGTAGCCCACTATCCTGTCTTTCAAGTGGTCAATAACAGATGCCTCAAGGGGAATGAAGAACACAGTCATGTAAAGAGAAAAGTAACACTTCTCTAATAACTTTTTTTACATCACTCAGTCTTATACCTTCCCCCCCGTCATCTCTTTTCTAAGATGAATAGTCCCCAGTCTATAATCTCTCCATGTGGAAGCTATTGCATACCCTTAATCATTTTTGTTGCCCTTCTCTGTATGTTTCCCCAAATTCTATCTTTAAGATGGGAAGGCAAGAATTGCATGCATTATTCATGGTGTGGGGTTAGCAAAAAGTTTTAAAGTTATTTCATGCACTAGCCCTAAGATACATCCTTTTAACTTGAATATTTATACAATATTTCTAATTTTCAAAAGACACTGGATACCACAACATAATGGTGAAATGGTATATATTGTTTCAGGACTCCAATATAGTGTGCATGAGTTACAGCTAACAGGTTTCAATTCCACAATGCACTGAATTGAGTAATTCATTGATGTCAACCAAGTACTTTGCTGACTCAGGCCCATAAGTAAGCAATTACATTTAGTACAAGAGACATTGTATCTATGGAAGTAACTGACCAAGTGGAACATGTGGCAGTTGTTCCAGAGAGAGAGTTGTTGAAATTATGAGATCCTATAGGAAATCAAGGAAATGTTATAGATCAGTATATGACCTTCTTGGAACATCAGAATTTCTTAGGATAAGATAAATTAAAGATGGAAAAAGCTTATTAGGTCATCTAATTTATTTTCCTGCCAGTTCAGGATTGTGGGTAATATATTCTGCCTATCTGCAATATTCTTCCTGTAGTTTTAAAGAGAGACAGTATTAATCTTCATCAGTGCATAGAAAATGGCATTATAGTTTATACTAGCTGAACTCACTAGTCCCTCTGGCTTTGGAATCTATGAATCATCCTGCATCAGTGAAGCCCTTTGTGCCATAGGACCATGGGGAATCATCGCTATTATGATAAGAAGGGCGTTTTTCTACCTCTCCCACATGTGGCTAGCAGCTTCAGCTTATGGCTAGATCTGCATTGGAGCCCTGGTGGAGAAGACTACAGGAAAGTTGTGTTGCAAAAGCCACACACTTCCTGGCCAGTTTTTGGAGAACTGTTGTTTCCCTGTTTCTCATGGTTGGTGACTTTTCCACTTCTGGGAACCTCCATCAGAGTTTAAACAGACATAAGTCCACAGAAACTCTACATGAATCTGGCTAGTATTTTGTCATTATCGGTCTTCTGGTTTAGAATTATATTATTTTGAAGTGATAATTCATGGAACACAAGCACAACACAACTGAATCTTGAAACCACAGGATAGTTTCACAGTAGAAAATGTAATTTTAAAAAAAAGACAGCCTTCTGCAGGCAATCACTGTGTTTCCTCACATAGAACACTTTTGTGAAGACAGTACAACCCATGTCATACTGTGTAGCTTCATTCATATTCCTTCAATGTTTATGTAGTCATGAATCTAATTGTAACAAAGTTATTTTTTAAATACAGTATGTGTGTAGAAAGAACAGTTGACCTTTATTAACTGTTTTATCACGTAGGTAGCCTCACTTTTTGGTCTCATTTGAAGTGCCTCAGATTTTCTGTTAGAGAAGATATAATCAAAGCATCCTAATATTGCAATGGGAGAAATGTCCTAATTTTGGTCAAAACAGTCTATTCATCATTTACTAAATTGAGACAATTCCGCTGGGATTTTCAAAGGGTCATAATTAAGTTAAGGAAGTCAAATCCTACTGAAATTCACTGCAGTTTGGGGGCTTAACTCACTTAAAATATTTTGAATATCTCAGCCTTATATCACAGTGCTGCAATTTGATTAATTTCACAATACTTAAAATATTCAATCTACTACTGTTAATACTTCTAATCTGAACATCCAGAATCCTCACAGATGTGAAATTCCAGTCTGTAAC